CCCATCCATCATTAATTCCTTCGTGAGTGCTCCCCAATTGTCCTTGGTTTCCCTCAAGATTTGCAACCATTTCATTCCCATAATGACATCAGTACTTCCTAACTCTAGTGAGAGAAAATCCTCCCTTACCTGAATCCCCTAGATGGTCAACACCACTCCTCTACAGATCCCCTAGCCTTTCTCCACCTTCCCTGTACCCATCATCACCCCATAACAACCGGTGTCCACCAATTTCACTCCCAGTTGATTGACAATCTGAGTGGAAATGAAATTATGGATAGTCCCACTGTTAATCAAAACAACCACCTTCATGCCTGCTATCTCCCCCTTCCCCTTCATCGTATGATTCGAGGTGAACCGTACTACTGAATTCAGGGAAACCTCGGCCAGATTTAAATGCAACTTCTCCTCCCTATCTTCCTCTAACTCCCCCTCACCTCCCTCTCCTCCTCTAACTCCCCCTCACCTCCTCAGTTTCCTCGTCATCACAGACGGTGAGAACCTGAAGAGTTCGATCCTTGCACCGACGTCCTAGCGTATACTTCTCCTCGCACCTAAAACACAACCCCTTTGCCTTCCTCTCCTGCATCTCCTTCTCTGTCAGCCTCTTGAAATTTTCCCCACTCCCTCCTCCTATTGGCTTTTCCCTAGTGGTCTCATTAATATTGCCTGATGAAGGCCCCATGGGTGCCAGAAGAGTGGTCGTCGTCCTGTAAGATCCCACTGAGTTGTTGCTCCTAGCTCCATTCTCTAGATTCTTCTGATTTTCCACCAGCTGGGTCAACTTCATGGCCTCCCCTAAGTCATAAGGCATCAAAACCTTCACTGCTGCTCGGATCTCTGCCTTCAACCCCTTCATAAAGTTCCCCTCCAATATTGTATCTGATAATCGCTCCACCCTACTGGCTAGGTGCTCAAACTGCTCCATGTAATCCGCTACTGATCCCTCCTATGCCAGAGCAAAGAATTGCTCATAGAAATTTTCTCCCTAGTTAGTTTGGAAACGTTCTATTATGCAATCATTGAATTCCCTCCAATCCCTGATAGGTCTCCAATTGTCTCTCCACTGGTACAATGACAGTGTCTTTCCCTCCAAACATAGGCTTGCTGTTGTCAGTTTCTCCTCCTCTATTAGCCCATTAACGACAAAGTACCTCTCCACCTTATATATCCACCCATACGCATCCTCCCCCTCAAAGATAGGCATCTTCAACTTTCTCACCTGTTGATCTCCACCATTCCCCCTTATTCCTCCATAGCTTCCCCTCTCCCAAGTGCTCGGCCCACCCCACGTCACCCGGTTTTCCCTTGCCCTATCATAGCCCAAACCCTCTTCGAATTCCCCTCTTATTCCTTCAAAATCAGCACCTCAGCGACCATAATGTCCCTCCCAGTGTTCCCAATCAGCACCCCTTTGCTCCGTCCCTCCATACCCATGCTTTTCCCCATACCTACCTCCTCTATACTCCCTCTGGAAAGGCTCCAGATAGAGTTTCCTTCTTTCTCCCTCCACGATTTCCACCTCATCTTCCTCCCTAAGAATTTCAGAATTCATGTTTTTTCTTTCCTCCTCTTTTGCCGCGAAAGCCGCCGTTTGGTTTTGGATCTCCAACATTTTCTTTATCATATCCCGGAGATCGGCTACTTGTCCTTCCATGGAGAAAATCATTTCCTCCACCGTTGTCTTGATTTGGTTCATCTCCCCTTCAAGCCTTTCTTCTAGCTCATCAACTTTCTTGGCCGCCATCTCGATCCGAACTTTTGTAAATCCAAAAATTCCGGATTTGGATTAAAAAAACAGCACTTCGTCCCTTCTCGACCAAAAATTGGGCGTCGAACTTCACCAAAATCAACCCACGGACAGTCCCAAGACTTGCTCTGATACCAATTTGATATAAAACACTTGTAGATCTCAAGTATTTCCTATCAATCTTTGAGAAACGCGAGAATCTTCACAAAAATCCACACAAAATCACAAAAACAATAGATAATTTATATTATTTGATGAAAGGAACACGGAAAATAGCAAGATACACTTGATCCTCAATTCGAGAGGAGGATCGATCTCACCCGAATCCCTAGACGTCGCTAGAGCCCAAAGAAAATCTAAATCTAAGAGATCTCAAATTTCCCCCAAATTCAAGATGCCCTAACCCTAGGAAAACAAACTATTTAATGCATATAAATCAAAGGAATTCCCTAAACAATCCCTACATTCAAATTTCCCTCTTAATTCCCCCAAAATTCTTTCCTATTTGGCTCCCGCACGGCATGCGGCTCGCACGGCATCCCAGCGGGCAAAAAAATTCCGCCCTGTTCGCGTCTGGGCCAGTCCCGCATGGACGGGCTAGACCGGTCTAACAGAGGGGTGCTGATTTTGAAGGGAAAATGGGAGAAAGCGAAGAGGTGTTTGGGTATAAGCGTGGAAGGGAAGATCGGGAGACATGGGAAGGGCCAAAAACTTGGAAAAGGGAAAATTATGGAGGAATCTGGGGAAACGGGGGAGATCCGAATGTACGGAAGTTGAAAATGCTCATTTTTTTGAAGGGGATTATGCACATAGGTGGATTTACAAGGTGGAGAGGTATTGCACCATCAACGGGTTGACGGAGGAGAAAAATCTGACGGCATCGGGCTTATGTTTAGAAGGGAATGCGTTGTCTTGATACCAGTGGAGAGACATGAGAATTCTAATACGGAGTTGGAGTGAGTTCAAGGAATGCTTATTGGAACATTTTCAAACCGACAGAGGAGGGGATTTGTATGAGCAGTTCTTTGCACTAGTGTAGGAAGGATCAGTGGATGATTACCACAAGAGATTTGAGTACTTGGCCAGTCAATTAAATCAACTATCGAAGACCGTTTTGGAGGGTAATTTCATGAAGGGACTCAAATTAGAAATCAAGGCCGGGGTTAAAGTCATGAGACCATGTGACTTGGGGGAGGCAATGGGAGCTGACAAATTTGATTGGGAGGGAATTAAAAAATTTCCTAATCAAGAGGTTGCATAGAAAGGTTCTTAATCAAAAGGAATTAATTAGGAAATGTTTCCAAATTGAAGAAATCATGTATGGGAGCTGATTTAGAGGAGATTAATTATAAAATGTATCCTAATTGACGAGGGCATATTTAGGGGCTGATTTAGGGGGGGGGGGGAATTAGAAAATATTTCCTAATTGAAGATGACAGATTTATAGGATGATTTGAGAGGAAAATAATTAAGGAAATAGGAGGGAATTAGGGGAGGGATGTTTGGGTTTTTGTTGTTCAATTGTTTGCTTTAAATAGGAAGAGAGAATTAGGGTTAGGGATATGCATAATTATTGTGGCTGAGTTGGTGCCTTTGGTTCTTGGTGCCTTGGGCCCTAGCTTTGTCTAGGGATTGGGAGAGATAGATCCTCCTCTCGAATTGAGGATCAATTGTATATTGCTATTATTTATTCTGTTAGTTTGATTTCTTCAATAAAAACTACTGTTTTGCTTGTTTTCCCATTGGATCTGTGGATTGTTCGTGCTTTTTTGTCTCTCTTGTTAGGGTTTAATTGAGATCTTCAAGTATTTTCTAACAAAATTCAATAAGATTTCTCAAATTTTTTCCATGGTCATTGATTTGCATAAAATATAATAATTGATAATTTTAATATTTAAGCTTCTTTCTAGTAGATAGATCTAGTGGCTTTAAACTTGTATATCATTCCTTTTATCAACAGAGATTCTTAAAAATTACCCCAAATAATTAGGATAAGGCTAATGATGATAAAGATGATATTGTCACTAGTACACAGTCAAATTTCCACTAGATTTTAGCTGGACTATGTCTAAGGGCCTGGGTGGATGTAGTTTGTTGGTTTCAAAGTCAAAGCTAACTAAGAATTGATGGAATAAATGTATTCTAGGATGATACAATGTCTAATACCTTTTACAGGTATCACCCTTTCAAATCATCCAACCTCTACTCATACTTTTAATATCATTTTAATACTAATTTTCATAATTTAAATGTGCTTGACACATGACAGTTTACTAAAAAGCCAAATGGAAGACAATTGCAACAAGGAATGTATTTCATAGCCGGAATTTTCATTCTAATCATCTCCTTATATTTCAGATCCATTTTCTCACTCACTTCTGTCTCTATTAAACCCTAAATACCCTTTTCAACTCCTCATTCCTCTGACTTCTTAAATTAACAGCACAAAGAAGAATGAATACATCAATGTAGCATTAGTACAGCGGTCTTTGATAAAGGTACAAGAATTGTCTATAAGGTATGTGACAGAATAAACTATAAGATTAAATCTCCCTGATAAAATTCTATAAACAAATATGATATGCAAGGGTTATCAAAAATGCTAGAACTTAAATTTTATTTGCACTTAATTTACTATGAGAAGCATTTGAAATTTCATGCACCACTCCAAGGCATACTCCTCTTAATTGGTATTTAGTACTATAATTGGGAACTGGAACCACGAAGAACAAATTTAGATTAAATGTAACTGTTTCAAATGAAAAGCCTGATGTAAATTTCCCTATACAAAAACTACATTAAAAGTCTAAATCAAACTTTAATCTCAGACAATAAGTACGTTTAGTAGAAGTGCTTCTCCCACAAGAAATAAAGTTCATAAACCCATATGTGCTATCAAAACCAAGATGAAGCCAGTAAAACCAAATTAAGCAATCAAATGACAAATTCAGCAAAGAAGTAACTAGACGTACGAACCACCTGGCAATAACCAAACCTCATCGGTCCCTACAGTTAAGGAGAAAACCTACATATTTTCAGGCTGTCAATTCTACGAAGGTACAGCGCATCACGAAAAGAATTTAACATAAATCCCGAACACAATAGCACAGCAAGCGCATCCCACCATCGGAAACCTCGCAAAACCTCCAAAATCAGTCAAGCCCAATTTACTCGACAAACACTTTAGTACCTCTATGCTAAATCTCATTGAGTAACAAATTCAGTAGATAGTAAAGTGCAAGATTCTTACATTGCTCCCTTTCCAAACTTGATACACCCGTTTGGCCATGAGAAAACGAACACGATAATCCTCTAAGTGGGGAGAGAATCCGAAACAAGAAACTCCAACAACTCTCGCATCTTCCTCCTCCCACGCCACAAATCAAGAGGAAAAGGAGTTCAAGCCAAAAGGACCGCTGGGTTTTAGCTATCTGCTTCTCGAGTCGAATTGGAGAGAGAAAAGAAGGGCTGTTCCCCTTCCTCTTTCTCCTTTCTCCATGGCCAAGGTTCTAGAAATGTAGAGCAAGGTAAATAGTCTTAAACAAGAGCCTATTTTGGGGAATATAACCCAAAGAAGAGCAGGCAGTGATCACCTTTCCTCACGTTGTGCGTCGCATTTAGTAAGTAGAGCCTGAAAGACGATTTTGTCCATAGTTAAAAACCTTGAAATTCTTGGCTGCTCTTCTGTTCTGTGCTGCTGTAGCTTATAGAGTATTATTTCTCATACTCTTCAGATTTCTTTGTGTTAATATATCAAAATTTATTAAAATAAAATTTCAATTATTAAAGTAAAAGATAATTTTAAATGCATTCCATTTAGGGAATGTTACTGTTTTCGTTCAAAATATATATATCTTTTATGAAACCCCTCTTTATATATTTGCATTTTTATTTAGTTATAAAACAACAAAATGATAACGCTGATAATAAATTGATTCCAGGAAGAGGGTTAAGTGAATTTTGTATTTGTTCCATTAATTTGATGCGTTTAATTCCTTAACAGATTTAAAGCGATAATTTGTAAATAATTTTTTACAAAATGATTTCTAAATTAAAAGAAACGTGTTGTATGATTTACTATTTGCAATAATAGAGAAAGAATTTATCAACTTAGAATTATACAAAGATCTCGTACACAGATAGAAATATATATGTTTTGAATAAAACTCCTTGCCGCAATTAAGGAATGTGTTTATACAATATAGTAAGTATAAACTATAAAGATTATTTTCATGATTAAATTTGGAGGCACTACATGAAAATTTTCGTTTATCGTTGATTTTTATAAAATCAGCGGTATTTTTCAGCGGAAAGTGTCGGAAATTATCGGTGCAAAATTTGTCGGCTCACTTAAACCCGACGAAGTTTTACCAGTGAAAAATCTGCCATAAAACTTACTAGAGAAAGCCGTATTTCCTTTTCGTAGTCGTTTTCCATCTCATTTTATTTCATGCTCATTTCAGTTCGCTTCGCTTGCATTAGTCACCTCAGCCAAATGCCACCTCTGTTAACACCGCTCCATCGCCCAATGTTAACCGCCTCAGTCTATGTCCGATAAACTTTTTCGACAGTTTATTCGACGATATTTCTGATGAAAATATTCCACCGTAAAGTCCGGTGGAAAAAATCACTGATAATAGCAACTCATAAACGAAGAATATTGACATACATTTCCACCATAATTTCGTCGGTAAATCCGGTGGTGGTGTTTCCAGCAGAAAAATTCCGTTGGAACAACGTTTCCAACGTGTGTTTTACCGTCAACCTAATTTCCGCCGAAAATATATAATTTCCAGTGGATTTTGTTAGCATGTAATAATAGATTTTTCTGTAGTGAGGAGATTTTGAGGCATTGGAATTCTCTTTAAGAGATTATTGGTGGTATGTTCAGTCATTATCCTAAAAGAAGAGAAGACCATAAACCAAAAAAACCTAGCATATATCCTTGATGTTGATGTTTGACATCAAGGTTCAAGCTAATGACAAGTGTCGGCCTTGTCGAAAATGGCATGCATCAGATGTATTGACAGTGACTTGTATCCATGTTATTAGCAACAATAGATAAAGAAGTTGGCGGGACGTCGGTGTTGGTGTTGACTACATACATCGACCTTATTTACCATGGCATGTATGTATCAATGCTATAGGTGACAGCAAGCGATGAAGTCACCATAAATGTTGGTGTCAACAGTGCCAGTGTGTATCAATCTAATTGGTGATGACGTGCTTCAATCTTGATGGCAATGTTAGGTGAAAAATCATTGCATGTTGATGACGTGCATCAGCATTGTTGGTGATATGGATCAATAAGGTTGGTGGTTGTTGGCGTTGGTGTCAATGGCATAAATTGGTCATATATCAATGACGCGCATCTACATTGGTATCAATGGCATGCATTAGTTTCTCGGCAATGATGTATGTCGATGTTGATTTTGACAGCATCCATCAACATTATTGAAATTATTATTATTATTGAAGTCAACAGTTTGTGCCACCAACAAAAATTCCCCTAACATTTTTTCCTATGGGCTTGAAATCAGCATTAGCTTTTTAAGAAAAAGATTTGTTTTAATTTTAAAAGAAAAAGATGAATTTTATGCTGATAGAAAAAGTTAGGAATAAGAGCATTATTGTCTTTAGCTTCTCACGTTGAGTCTTTGCAATAAATTCATAATTTTTATTTATTTTAATAATTTTGTATTTCAATATTTAAATTTAATACGTATTATATTAATATTTTTTTAATGAGCCGACTCATTACATAACTAGTTGAGTTGGAGGTTGCTCAACTTTGACTTAGTCAGCCTAACGAGCTGGATATAAGCCGAATTGACTTAATTACACCTTTACCTAATAATAAAAAAAAAATTGGAGCTTAAAAATATTAAATGATCAAAATCATCTTGTAAATCAACTACTATGTTTAATAAAAAAATTAACAAAAAGCTAAATAAAAAATATATATATTTTAACAAAATTAGCATCCGAAGTAGACTCATCAGAAATTTTCAACTTACTTCTAATAAGTAAATTAAAAATTCATTTTAAGAAATTTTTAAAAAATCAAGATATTTAGGCTTAGTCAGTGATAACTTTATTACTGCTTTGCAAAGTTATTATATCAAAAAGTAATTTTTTAGGTTTCATTTGGGACGACTTTCTTTCTGCTTTTTAAAGCAGCTTTCAAGTACAAAAATTTACTCAAAAACTGCTTTAAGAAACAGACAGTAAGCTACCCCAAAAAAAACTTTAAAGTTATACTAGAAAGCAACTTTTTAGTATAATTTTTTTTTTAAACGACAAAATATACGGGCCAGACAGAAATTGTAGTTACATTATGAAAAACAAAGCAAAATGAAAGTTGTCCCAAATGAAATCTTAAAGCTTAATTGCATTAAAGGAACTCATTAAAAGTCATTTCCCGTAAATATAATAAACCACTTTATATATTAATTATGATCATAAAATATATTTATAGAATAATTTGTTCATATCGATAAAATAAATTACCTATCTTCAAAGTTTCTCTAGATATATATTTTTTAGTTTTTATTTATTGTATTTTTCTATTTTTTAATATATTTCCAAGTACTTAAAAAAAAAAATTCTTCTAACTTCAAAACTCCTGAAAGATTCGAATAAAGATAAGAAGCACATGCAGACCATATGAAAAGATTATTAGATTAGTAAGTAATTAGTTTGACAGAGTGAATCAGCTATGAGATTCTCGCTCTGCTTGATGCGAATTAGTTTATAAGAAAATTACCTACTTTAGCTTTGCATATGATTATATTAATAATATTTAATACTAAATTTATGTTTTTATAAATCTTACGTTTGTAAATATCTCTCTGAAAAAAATATTTATAATAATAAAATAAAATATTATCATCTCATGCAATTACCCCTTAAATTTAAGCGAAATTTTTATAAGATCGATGATGTTGAGACCTAAATTGCTTTATAGCGTAGAATGTTGACCATTAAAATAGAAGCATAAAACTAAGTTAAGTAGGGAGATAAGTATTGAACTTGGTTGTTCTTTTTCCTTTTCTACTTTGTTGGTTGTTTGGCTGTTTTGGTGGTCTTCGATTTTTGTTGTTGGTTGATGTTGTTGTGATTTGCTGTGGAGGGGTTTGTTTTTGTCCTTATAGCGCTATCGCGTGGCCGGCTATATGTGATTGTTGGTCGTTTTCTATTAGTTGTATGAGATGTAGTTTAAGCGGAGCTTCTCTACCATCCTGCTCTCTTTATTACAATTCTTGTTGCTTGCTGGTGTGTTCAACCAGCTCAGATATCGAGTTGATTAGTATGCTCTTCGTGGCTTGTGCTCTTTTGGTTGACATGGATATGTTGATCTTATTGTTGCTGCTGTTTTGTTTTGCCTATTTGGTTCTTTTGATTTCATTTTTATTATCTTCATTATATAATGTAGGATCCACAACTCTATAGGTTTTATTTCAATTGTTGCCCTTTTAGCGAGCTTCTAATCATTTAAGGACATGTTATATTTATGTGTTTAACTTTTAGGTCCTCCGTGTTTTTTTTTTTAATTATTTTTTTATAAAGTGCTACAAAGATGAGGATGCATGCTCAAGTGGATAAGTGAATTTATACTTAGAGACATAATCCGAAAATGTGTACGCATGAAAAGGTTAGAGTAGCTCTACTGACATATAATATTAGATAGTCGTCTTAGATAGTTTGATCACATAAAATATTGACATTCTAATGATCCGATCATGAGAGAAGATGTATTATATCTGATTTATGCTAAGAAAAGTAGATATATAACTAAAAAAAAATTGATTAGAAAGTATTAGAAATAATTTTTTTGTCAAATTTAAATGATAATTTAACTCTTAATAGTCATAATAAAGAAAAATGATTCACTTAGTCAACCCTATCTAGTGGAAAGGGCGGATCCCCATATGAGTCAGGATGGGCAAATGCCCGCCATATATATATATATATACTAACTTGAAAGGTAAATAAAAATTTTGACTACACAATATATATATATATATATATATATATATATATATATATTGAAATTTTGCCCTTTCTCAAAATATTTTTTTGCCCTAATATCAACTATCCCGTGTGCTTCTGCCCCTTTCCATCCAAAATTTTGGTTTTGCATGTGCGACACTTCGCACGCAAAGGTTTGCGAATTGCAGCTTCGCTCTTCGACGTCTTCCAAGCCATCAGTGTCTTCGCAGCCTTTGGTTGTTCGATGTCTTCTTTTTTATATAATAAATTTGTCCTCTCTAAAAATTAAAGCCCGATCTGCCCCTGTATTGGGATAAAATTTAGTGTTATTATTGCAATTAATGACTTATGGAAAATTTGAAATTGAAGAGGAGACGATGGCTAAAATCCATGAGAATTTATGCGATAAAGCATAAGCTCGTTTTTTCCCCTTCTTTTATTGGAGCTTTTGAGTTTGTTTATAGCCGTCCTTGGGTTGGTGGATGCTCCGCACTGGCAGTTTAATTTTTTTAATTATTTAGGAAGCTTCCAAACATAGCGTTTGCCGTTGATTTGTTTGATATAAA